TATATATATATATATATATATAAAATAGTCAAGTGAGGTCGTATGGTGTGGTCGGGTGTGGTCGTATGATGTACTCACCTAGTTGTGTTTGCGGGGGTTAAGCTCTGGCTCTTTGGTCCCGCCTCTCAACCGTCAATCAACTGATGTACAGATTCCTGAGCCTACTGGGCTCTGTCATATCTTCATTTGAAACTGTGTAAGGAGTCAGCCTCCACCACATCACTACCTAGTGCATTCCATTTACTAACAACTCTGACACTTAAAAAGTTCTTTCTAATGTCTCTGTGGCTCATTTGGGTACTCGACTTCCACCTGTGTCCCCTTGTACGTGTGCCACCCGTGTTAAATAATCCATCCTTGTCCACCCTGTCAATTCCCCTGATAATTTTGTATGTGGTGATAATGTCTCCCCTAGCTCTTCTAGGTCGAGTGGTCGAGTGTGGTGTTGTGATCATACTTTCTAATGTCATTTGATGTGGTGTGTGATCACGTTCGGCCTGTTCTAGTCAATAGGGTGATTTCGACCTAGTGATTATTCTAGGGGTCAACAGTGGTTGACATGACCTTACCCCTAGCCCAGTACGAACCCTGCCTGCATCCCAGGCCAGAGATCTGAAGGTTAAGTTATCATATGAACCCTCCAATGAAGTGGGAAGATGTTGGCCAGAAGACTATACAGCAGATTAGTTAAAGAGTTGTCGGTCAATTAGTCTTGATGACCGCAGAGAAGGGCTTGAAGCTTGCCTTCAGGAAGGCACTGGTTGCTACATTGATTAAATTTTCGGTTTACATTCAAGTTTTCTTCCTGTAAACCAAGAAGAGAACCGTAGCAAGAACCATGAGAACTTGAGAGGAAATCCTGAAAGTAGGAAAGCTGTACATCAAAACAACAAATGTAAGAGGTTGGGGATTGTGTATTACAAGCAAATTGTTTTTTCTCATGTTAATTAACGTCATTATTTATTAACTTGTTATGTCAAGCTAATCATAGGTTAGGTTAGGGTTAAGTGTTTAGGTTCTGTTTTCAATTACGTGCATTTGAAGTACCTTGGGGAAACATTTATGGATTTGGGATTGGAACAGAGGTGATCACTGAAGCACTGTTCGAGAAATGCTTGACCATCAACATTTGTGAACTTTGCAAGGCAAATTCCCTTGAATCCTGCCGCCAAACCCCCTATTTATGAATAATTAATGGTTTACACACTCCTCACAACTGTTGACGTTCGAACAATGCTTTGCTGACCATTTCTGTTCGAACTGTAACGCTGTAAATGTTGTAAATAATACAAATTATTATATGAATCACCCATGCTCGTCCGTTAAAGCGGAGGCGTTCTATTCGAATTAACTGTAGGCGCAAAAAAATTCTTCTGTTTTGCAGGCGATGAGTCACAATAACGTGGCTGAAGTATGTTGACCAGACCACACACTAGAAATTGAAGGGACGACGACGTTTCGGTCCGTCTTGGACCATTCTTCTGTTTTATCCGGGTGCATCATAGCTTTTGTAATTGCGTGGTGCTCTTTTTTTTTCCTCCTAAGAGACGAGTTTTATTTTTCTAAACAGCTACCTGGATATGGAGCATTATCTTCTGTTTTGTAATTTAGAGCAAGGTATAAACAGCTTATTCGTGATTTTCATGCCAAACATCTAAACTAATAAGTAGCTTCCAGCACTATGACGCACATACGCAATACTCTAAACTTGTACCCAGTTACCGATATGAAGCGTATCACCAATTACCACCACTATAGTTTGTTCGCCTCTTTTCAGCACAATAATGAGTGGACATAGTTCCTAGTTCTTAGAGATGGTTCCCATTTCTCTGTTCTCTACGGCGAATACCCAGTTTCATGCACTATAATACGTATACCTAGTACTCAGCACTATAACGCGTATACTCTCATTACTCCCAGAAGTTAGCAACATTAGCTTTCCTAACCAGTTACCAAGCAAGTACGTCTCGGTAATAAAATCCCTCTAGTTACATCTTTATTTAAATAAATATGTTCCATACAATCAGAAAATGATGCTATGCCCTAAGATTGTGGAGTCGTCAAACAATATGAATATGACTTGAATGTTCATCTGGTACGTGTTAAGTTGTTTGCAAGCTCCGGTATGTAGACAATTGTTATTCATTGCACAAGGCGAGATGTTATGTTGAAGGTGTAGGAAGAGAGTTCCCCACCTTGCGCCATGGTGATCGCACGTTGAATTCACAAAGACTCAATGATTAAGGCTTCAAACACGAATCTTCTCCATATTTCATCTGTTCTTCTTTCCTTGTGCATTAACATGAAAAAGCACTCTCTCAAGCTCACTTTGTAATGTTATTAGCCTTGACACGTATCGCTGTGTCAAGCTAAAGCTCTATTTTTCTTGACACAGATTGCACGTGTCAAGCTTGATACGTTTTGCCAAAGCTCTCCAACTTCTTATGAGGCTGAGTAAAAAATTAATACAGATTGGTAGGGTTTTGAAAATATATGTTTTCCATTTAGGGTGAAGTGGGGTGTTCCTCTGCCGAGAGGTTCTCAGAGCAGCAGTTGGTTCTATTGACTATTAAAAGCTCTTAGTTATGCTCTGAGATGTTTATAGCTGGCTCTTGGTCATGTTGGAAAGACCTCATAACTAGCTATAGTTACTTTATGATGAGAAATGTGTTCAAACATAGATGCAGCTACGTTGAGAGGAACTCGTAGCCCTCTCTTTGGGAGAAGCCCTCTATTTATGTTATGAAGCGATCATAGCATGCATAGCATAGTAATATTGACAAGTGTTCGTAGCAACAGCTGTTGTTGCTTTAGATTTAGCTACTCAGAACGAAATGTTCATGTAACACGGGCTATAGTGAGCCCGTAATTGAGTTCGATTATTCGCGATAACCTTGTTACTGTGATATTTGGGTCAAAGTCTTAAATGGAGGTGGGGTTTTGTTTTTCGCTTCGGTTTTAGCGTACTGGTTTTAGTCTTGTTTTAATAACGGAAGATTGATGGTGGATATAGATGCACAGTGTTCACTAGTGTGTCCCATTCTTCAACTGCTTTTCTAATCATTGTAGTTCCTATAGAATTTGCATCTAATGCAGCTGCTGTCGATGGATTAATGTTGAGTTTGATGCGCAGGGCTTTAGCTGCTTCCCATTCCAATAACTAATGCAATTATGGCGCCTCTGCATCTGTTCCACAGACATGACACTCTTTAACTAAATGGGTTTACTACCTCCCAGCAGCACTTGTAACCAAGTCTGAGTCTGTGTGTGGCATCTGCAATGTCTCTGGATATCTTTTTGCCAGGCTTGAAAGAGTAGTACCCAGTGGTTTTATGTGCTACATCGCAGTGGATCTTCCTTCCGCTACTTTGGCTCTGTGGCAAATTTTGATTGTTGGGTGTATTTTCTTCTTGATTTGCTCCCTAATCTGTGAAAAACTTGGAGGTACTTGAACCTGTACAACAGGTAGAGCAGTGGCAGTTTTTACTAGTGAGTCTGCCTTTTCATTACCATCTAAGCCAATGTGACTTGATATCCAATTTAAGGTGATAGCCCTAGATTGTGTGCTTCTTTTCCTATATGTTGGATTTCTGTGATGAGTTTTATATTATCTCTGCGCTGGCTGGATAACTATACCTGGAGCGTAGATTTAAAGTTGGTATGAATGATGACATCATGTAAATTATTCTTAATTGATTAATTTATGGCCTCCTTCAGGGCATATAATTCTGTTTATAATGTAAGCACCCACTATTCTTGCTCCAGTAAGCTTCGTATGTGTTAATGTAAACTTTTAGTGAAAACTAAATTGTATTAGTATATAGTAAATTAGGGATTAATTTAAATTAAAACCGGAGATTTCCGGGATTTTATGTTTCATTAAGATATTCTTTAAGGAATGCCCCAGCAGAATCTCATTCTTGATCAACTGATGCGTTTGTGAAGATGTGAGTGGTTGCCGGTCTTCAGATGATTTCCATTTGTTGTTTTATAATTGCTTTGAGCCTCTGCAAGATACCTGCTGATTTTTTAACTGTTCAATGATTATCTTTCGACTCAAGTCTTCTTCCTACTTTTCTTATAATAGTCAGGTAAAAGCATCTAACAACATATATAAAGTGTTCGTAGCTTGCTACTGGATATTATATATGTTGTCAGATGTGTTTAGCTAACTCTTATACGTATGTGGTCAGGTGTTTGTAGCCAACTATTGCATATGTTGTCAGGTATTTTAGCCAACTCAGCTTAAATATATTAATGCCGATATCGTTAGATGTTTTGCGTATTATATACGAATTCCTGTTTTTATTAGGCATATGCCCCTGGATACTGCTGAATGCGTGTATGCAAATGCGCATTTATCCAACTTTGTATGTTTACACACACACAGACATTTATGTATGCAATCATCATATATATGCAAATCGTCATTGAGCCGAGTGATGTTGCGCTTTCTGGCGTTGCAGCATCTGGGACCTTGACACTGTGTCCGGTATTAATATTGAAGATAAAACGATAATGTACAAGTCTCACTTTGCACCCATGCGATGGTGAGTACACGTGTGTGTGTGTGTGTGTGTGTGTGTGTGTGTGTGTGTGTGTGTGTGTGTGTGTGTGCGCGTACCGGTGTCAGTGGGTGTACACAAACAAATCCTTCCCGGCAGCCACTCTCAGCTCGGGTATTCAAGAGAAGCATAACAAAGCATAACATAGATCATCTTCCAATTTAAGTCAAAATGCTTTAACTCTCTACTTGAACCTCGCCTGCAGCTCCTTGTCATCATTCCTACCAAATGACACAGTTAAATCGGCTTTAGTTGCCATCATATATTGTGACTATAAAGTCATAGTTAAGTGATGGTCCAGAAGTGGAATGGCATGATTCTCTTGGTGCGTAGTGACGTTGATACGAAATACAGACGATGGGGAATACCAGATATATGAGTATTTCCATTGGAAGATATATATGCATATTGAATTGATAGTGCTTGGCGCCTGGCCAGCCGTCCGGGCTGGTGAGTCGTCCAGTGCGTGTATACATATTAATACACATATATGTGTGTGTGTCCAGACGCTTGTAGTGTGGTGCTGACCGCCATTGGAGAAGGATCAGCGGCTTTCTTCTCTGTTATTTCTGACTAACGGTAAGTTGAGGAACCTCTTTCTTGCTCCATTTGGTATTTTTGTTGTGAATCGTTACCTCTCCAGACAACATTGAGACGGGTGACGTTCAACTCAAGCTGCTGATTAACTGTTGTATAAACTCTGGCACAGAAAATATAGTGTGTTTTGAGGTATAACACAATTATATTTGCAGAATGAACATTCCTTTCATGCTATTCATTATAACTGCCTGATGGGTCTCTTCATCATATCCCCCCCATCTGATGACCTTTTGGTGAAAGGTTGCGAGTTATATTTTATGTTGCTTTAGTGGGTAACCTGAGACATTGAACAGATGTTTGTTCATGACAGTGAACTCCGGAGATGCCGTGAGATGTGACTCGACATCATGTTCAGACTGCTACAGTGAACACCACATACATAACTTCCACCAGCAGGCCCCACAAACAAACAAACATTACCGTGAAGCTTCACGCTCATTTTTATTCTTGATTTCTACTTGAAAATTTGAGGAGTACGACTGTCAACTTCGTGAATTTATCTATTTTACATATTTTCCTAAATCCTATACATAATTTCACTTTTAGTCTTAAAACTAATTATTCCACTTTCAGTCTCATAGCTAAAAATGATCATATTTCCAGCCTTTACAAAAAAAATTTCACCTTCAGTTTTAAACAAAATAAAACTCGCATTCAATAAAAAAATACTTGTAGTCCCAACCAATGAACAAACTCCTGAATGACAAGAAAGTTCAAATTACTCAATCACCTTCACAGAAAACTAATTATCATATTTAAATTTATTCTATATATAATAATTATTAACAGTATATACTATTAGAAAGATATCATGAGGTTTAACTCCGAGGAAACGAATAGGTCACAAAATGTACTTTCAAGTGATAAGAAATTTGGAATGAATAAATTAACAATCAGGATTTGCGTCCTACTTTACGAGAAATTACTTCACGGATGAGAAATTAATTCTGATTACATTATGAAAAACAAACAATTGGGTTTTCTATTGCCAGTAGAGGGAGCCGGTTAAGCTTATAAAAGTAGTCTCTTCCCTTCAAGGCCAATGACAAAACTAGGATGAACCCATTCCGGTTGTCTGGAGATGTTCAACTACTGCTTCTTGAGATCTTGAGATGGTTTCGGGGCTTTAGTGTCCCCGCGGCCCGGTCCTCGACCAGGCCTCCAACCCCAGGAAGCAGCCCGTGACAGCTGGCTAACACCCAGGTACCTATTTTACTGCTAGGTAACAGGGGCATAGGGTGAAAGAAACTCTGCCCATTGTTTCTCGCCGGCTCCCGGGATCGAACCCGGGACCACAGGATCACAAGTCCAGCGTGCTGTCCGCTCGGCTCGACCAGCTCGGCTAGTTGAACAAAGACGAAGTGTATTCAGTGTAAACGTTCCCAAAACCTCTCCCCCTACCTGAGAATCGAACCCGGGGGCCCAGTTGGTTGTGAGGTAGCCGTGCTATCCACAGCGCCAAAATAATGCATCACAATACAACATTGTAAATTTTCCAGCCTTCATTATAATGAATTTAGATCACTAAAAATAACACTTGACACATTTAGATTCTTGACCAACAAAAAAAAATCTTACAAATAATGCAACCATAACAAATAATTACCAAAATATTATACATAACTTTTTTCAGCAGCAAATAATTATAATTGCAACACGTGTTACAGGTATTGCAGCTGTTGGTGGCGAGAGATGATAGGCAACATGTGTACGACACTGTCACTACCCGTGCTTGTCACCTGTCTGTTATTGCTGTCTCAGGAGGGCAACACCCTGAACCACGACGAAGGAACAGCAGAAGAAAGGAGCGTTGAAAACAACGAAGAACAAGGCAAACAATATGGAGGACACGAAGCCAACGTTCCGGACGGACAAAGTCGAGACCCAGGATCAAGGCGCTTCCGCCCCTCAAGGGTACCCCGTGGAGCCGGTGGTGGGGGTCTTGTTGGGGGTGGCGCAAGGTAGGGAAGCTGCTGGGTGAGGGGCAAGGTAGGGAAGCTGCTGGGTGAGGGGCAAGGTAGGGGAGCTGCTGGGGGAGGGGCAAGGTAGGGGAGCTGCTGGGTGAGGGGCATGGTAGGGGACCTGCTGGGTGAGGGGCAAGGTAGGGGAGCTGCTGGGTGAGGGGGCAAGGTAGGGGAGCTGCTGGGTGAGGGGCAAGGTTGGGGAGCTGCTGGGTGAGGGGCAAGGTTGGGGAGCTGCTGGGTGAGGGGCAAGGTAAGGCGCTGGGGGCGTCTCGGGTGAGAAATGTTTGTGTCTCAAAGAGGTAGCTGACAGGCTTGCTAAGATACAGCTGGGTGGGCGGCTGAGACGGCAGCTGAGACGGTAGCTGGGAGTGTAGTTGACTTGCCAGGGAGCGAAGATGGCAGCTGGGTAGAAACTGTGGGAGTAGGTAAGTGGGAACTGTGAAGACCCACTTGGATGGAGCTGAAAGAATCTATAAGGGAAGGTGGGGGGAGAGCTGAGAAGGATGATGGGTGAGAGGTCAGAAGGCATATAATCAGGAAGCTAGGAAGGAGCTGTAAGCCCATCAATATGAGAGCTTAAAGAACTAGTAAGTCACTGTGTGCTGTGAACTCTTGCCCTTCTAAGTACATAGTTTATGGCTCTAACCTTCTCAGCATAAGTGATCCGACAGACCATTAGTTCCCCCCCCTTTCTAACCCTCTTTTTTTGGTTGTCTTTCTCTCTTCTTGATTAAATTTTGTCTTTTTCACCTATTTCTCTTCACCATTAGATCTGCATTTATACCTATTTCTCTGGTTTTTCTTCTTCCCACCTTACATATGACAGTCATATCATGAGTATTGCCTCATTTTGTCTCCTCACACGCCTTGCTAATGACTCACCCAGGTCTCGTCACCTGTTATTTACTGGTGAGGGAGTTTGTTGTTTCAGTTTCACCTGTTATTGTTAGTTACTGCAGCAGGGTGTGAGGGGGCAGCAGGGTGTTGAGGGGGCAGAAAGGTGTGAAAGGCAGCAGGGTGTGGGGGGCAGCAGCAGGGTATTGTATATAAGGTAATTATAGTGCATGCATTTTTCAGTTAGTGTGCAACCTGTCCTCCTGCAAAGAACGTCGTATTTCGCTCGTATGCCTTACATAACGCCAAAAATGATCGCACTCGAAAATGGAAACAACTCGCCAAAGTGACGTACTGTCCCACTTTCTGTTTTGGGTCCTCAAGTTGTTTAGGAGAGGACACTTTAAATTGACCGTTTTCTTGACGTTGTGAATCCTTAGGATTCACAACGGTGGAATGGCTGAAGTGTGGTGGTTCGGTTCAATCACTTGCAACCTCAAGAGCACTATGGAGTCACAATGCACTCCGTCAGTGCAGGCTATTATCGTATGTGAGACCAAACGCTAAGATTTAGTGTTCCTCGATAGGAGAGTGTGTGTTCCAGGGCTATAATCTATTCCAACGATTGTACAATAATCTGCCGTCACTGGGTCGATGCCTTGATCCAACAAGCGTAGCGTTACAGAGCTAAAACACTTGTGAATCACACTAAATTTAACATTTTGGTGTCCAGGATGTTGGGCAGCAATACCCGGTGTTTGTACCCAGTTTACACGAAAGAATAATAATGATTCGGCGACGCCGTCCCTTCTCTAGAAATACCTTTCATTTCAGGATAACGTATTTCCGAATTTCACAATATTTATGCTGCTGGAAAGTAACTATTTTTACGAAGTAAAAAAATATCACAAATAAATATAATCCCTTAGTTTAATATTCACAGAACTTATGAAAGGTTTGACGGACCGCTTCTCTTATTACAAAAATAAAATTATTCAGTACACTTGTAGTAAATACATAGGAAGCTTTCATTACGTTAGACAAGAGTGTCATTTTAACATGGCTAAACAATAGCATTACGCAGTAGGAACCGGTTCTCACGGCGTTAGTATACGGAGACCTTATCTCGCCTTCCAGCTTAGGAACAAAGTGAACTACATGAACACTCCCACTAAATGTTTGCGACACTTACATTAACAAGGGACATTGTACACTCGTGTACTAATGAATGTCATTGAATGTGTAATTCCACACATGAATTACACATTCAGTGACACTTACAGTTACGCTCATTCATAATCTCCGGAAGTGAATAACACATCAAAGTTACACAGAAAATGCAGATCACTGAAAGAGTTTGCACTTCACAAAGACATAATTACAATGCCAAACCTAATTAGCAGACACCTGAGACAATACTACACAATGGACCGACACACTCGAGTCACAGACTCCAACAGTCACTGACATTAACAACGTCGTTGAGATAAACAATACCAGCATATGTCATAGGTCACGGAGACCCTAAACATGTGTAGGATTACGACAGTCCTCGCACCTGGACGGGTGTCTGGACGTCACCACTTGGGCTGATGAACTGATAGTTGTACTGTCGCGTCAGTCGTTCCATCTCCCGTCTGTGTCGGGCTTTGATTTACTCGACTGTGGACGGTCGAACACGATGATCAACACCAGAGAACAATTTCGGAATGCAGAGAAATTATTTACTCCCTAATAGTCGGCCCCCTCACACACACACCTTCACACGTCATCCACACAATCAGAGAGAGATGTGTGTGAGATTATGGAGATTAGGAGAGATTAGGCTAGTCCCAGAACTAAGGTTGACCCTCGCGGAACCCGCTGACGCAACGCGACACGGAAGTCTCGCTCAATGACCGGTTGCTAATCCTCTAGTACTGTCACCTCAGCACAGAGCGCGCGGGGTAAACAAGTGCCAGATTACTCGCTATGCATAGTATTGTGGGTCAATACGACGTAACACGGCAGGCGCGCGTAGGAGAGACAGGCGATGAGACGCGACACGTGGTGCGCTTGAGTAATGTCGACGCCTCGACGCACACGGACGGCACGGCGTTCATATACGCACGTGAGCTCTGACTATGGCTCCTCAGATGAGAATGTTTCACTTCACACAACAAGAAGTCGAGACTAGCTAGAGACTGTACATTGCTTCGATTAGCCATTGTATACCCGACAATTACTTCTGAAGCTCGTTCAGTTTAATAATCAGTAGTTCGGAATGACAATGGAGTCTGCAATTTGAGGAGTGTTTTCTAATATATTTATTGAATGGTCACGTCCTTTGTTTCTTAGGAAGATTTAAAAAAAAAGTCAGAGAGAAACCCTTTGGCGTGAGACCCTTTGGCGTGAGCCCCTTTGGCGTGAGACCCTTTGGCGTGAGACCCTTTGGCGTGAGACCCTTTGGCGTGAGACCCTTGGGCGTGAGACCCTTGGGCGTGAGACCCTTGGGCGTGAGACCCTTTGGCGTGAGACCCTTGGGCGTGAGACCCTTGGGCGTGAGACCCTTGGGCGTAAAACATCTCTGAGTACTCTCATGATTTATTGTTAGTTCGGCAGTTGTGTCGGGCGACTGTCAAACAATTACTCATGATCTACTAAACGAAGGGATGACAGAATAATTAAGTGTATTCACCGCAAAATCAATACCAGCTTACTTGTTTGTATCTCAAAATGTTTTAGAATGTATGTAGTTTCGTATTGAAAGCCTGTACCTCAATTCACGTAAAACAAACACGTGTGTGTGTGTGTGTGTGTGTGTGTGTGTGTGTGTGTGTGTGTGTGTGTGTGTGTGTGTGTGTGTGTGTGTGTGTGTGTGTGTGTGTGTGTGTGTGTGTGTGTGCATTCACCTAGTTGTGTTTGCGGGGGTTGAGCTTTGCTCTTTCGGCCCGCCTCTCAACTGTCAATCAACTGTTTATTTACTACTTCCCCTCCCCCCACCCCCCACCCACCACCACACCCCACCCCACACCCCCCAGGAAGCAGCCCGTGACAGCTGACTAATTCCCAGGTACCTATTTACTGCTAGGTAACAGGGGCATTCAAGGTGAAAGAAACTTTGTCCACTTGATTCTGCCTGGTGCGGGAATCGAATCCGCGCCACAGAATTAGGAGTCCTGCGCGCTTTCCACCAGGTCCCTGTCTCAGTCTGTTTTCTGTGTGTGTGTGTGTGTGTGTGTGTGTGTGTGTGTGTGTGTGTGTGTGTGTGTGTGTGTGTGGTGTGGTGTGGTGTGGTGTGGTGTGGTGTTGTGGTGTGCAGCCCGTCCTCCAAAAATGGGGAGGTAAATATAACAGCCTCATAAGTGCAACTATGTACTATGTATGACAGTCAGGAATTGTACGTATTTACACTTAGTATTAAATTGTACTGTCAAATATATTGTGAATATATGAGTTTACCTGAAAAGCTGAATAGAAAACCACGACCTAACCTAACCGTCTTAGTTTTTGAAGATAAGCATTTTATAAACGCATGTGCGTTGCAGAGCCACAGCAACGCGTGACCGGGTACAGCTAGTATTTAAATAAATTGTAAAGCAACTCAAGATATTTTTTTTTTAAATCTCTATTGTTTAATAAAACTAAAAGAGAAATTCCTGATATTTAAAACGCGTATAGTGAACTGAACTTTAAAATTTCATCCTAAAATTCTGAGTATCTTAACAGACAACGAGGAGAATTAAATGGAGAAGTAAATGTAACAGCCCCATAAGTGCAATTATGTACTATGTATGACAGTCAGGAAATGTACTTATTACACTTTGTATTAAAACGTACTGTCAATTCGGAGGATGGGTTGCAGCGTGTGTGTGTGTAATTACCTAAGTGTAGTTACAGGATGAGAGCTACGCTCATGGTGTCCCGTCTTCCCAGCACTCTTTGTCATGTAACGCTTCGTAACTACTGACGGTCTTGGCCTCCACTACCTTCTCCCTACTTTGTTCCAACCGTCTAACACTCTGTTTGCGAAAGTGAATTCTCTTATATTTCTTCGACATCTGTGTTTAGCTAATTTAAATCTATGACCTCTTGTTCTTACCGTTCCAGGTCTCAGAAAATCTTCCCTATCGATTTTATCAATTCCTGTTACTATTTTGTATGTAGTGATCATATCACCTCTTTTTCTTCTGTCTTCTAGTTTTGGCATATTTGTGTGTATGTGTGTGTTTACCAGTTGTGTTTTTACGGGGGTTGAGCTTTGCTCTTTCGGCCCGCCTCTCAACTGTCAATCAACTGTTTACTAACTACTTTTTTTTTTTTTTTTTTTTTTTCCACACCACACACACACACCCCCCCCAGGAAGCAGCCCGTGACAGCTGACTAACTCCCAGGTACCTATTTACTGCTAGGTAACAGGGGCATTCAGGGTGAAAGAAACTTTGCCCATTTGTTTCTGCCTCGTGCGGGAATCGAACCCGCGCCACAGAATTACGAATCCTGCGCGCTATCCACCAGGCTACGAGGCCCCATGTGTGTGTGTGTGTGTGTGTGTGTGTGTGTGTGTGTGTGTGTGTGTGTGTGTGTGTGTGTGTGTGTGTGTGTGTGAAAAAACTTCAGTTGATTGACAGTTGAGAGGCGGGCCCAAAGGGCCACATACTCTAACCCCCGCAAGCAAAAGTAGCTGAATACAACTGGGTGAACACACACATACACACTCTTGTGTTGGTGAGTGTATGTGTGTGCAAGTGGGATAGCTGAGGAGTGGAGGGTTCACTAGTGGGATAGCTGCTGAGTGGGGGTCACTAATGGGATAGCTGCTGAGTGGGGGTCACTAGTGGGATAGCTGCTGAGTGGAGGTCACTAGTGGGGTAGCTGCTGAGTGGGGGTCACTAGTGGGGTAGCTGCTGAGTGGGGGTCACTAATGGGGTAGCTGCTGAGTGGGGGTCACTAATGGGGTAGCTGCTGAGTGGGGGGTCACTAATGGGATTGTTGCTGAGTAGGTTTTCAGTTGAGAAGCTGCTGAGTTTTTAAGATATTCATAGATATGTGAAAACGAATTACCTATAAAGGTGAATTAGTGGATGTTCTCTATGACTACATAGGTATAGTTCACACGGTCAGGTATGACAAGGAGAGCATGATATATGGTGTTATTCTGCAGCTTAAAGATGCACCCAGCTGTGGAAACCTTGTTAATATATTAGTCTTTTACCCAAACAGTGCAGGTCTGGTGGGCGGCGGGCAGGTACTGAGCCAGCTGTCTGGCCTCAGTGCTCTGGCCGGACCTCATGTTGGTGGCGGCGGCGGAGGCCATGGTGGTGGTGGTCATGGCGGCGGCCATGGCGGACATGGTGGCGTTCATGGTGGCCATGGTTTCGGCGGCGGTCATGGTGGCCATGGTTTCGGCGGCGGCCATGGATTCGGCGGCGGCCATGGTTTCGGCGGCGGCCATGGTTTCGGCGGCCTCGGCCATGGTTTCAACGGCCTCGGCCATCATGGTGGCGGTGGGCATCACGGCGTTGGTCATCATGGTGGCGGTCGTCGAGGAAGCGGTTTCGGAGGTCTGGGCTTCGGAGGCCTGGGCATATTTGGTGGCTTCGGCCGGGGTGGCAACAGACTCAACAGAAGGCGTCGTCCTCCCTTCTCTAGAGGTGCCTGGCATTTCAGGATAAAGTATTTCGGAATTTCTAAATATTTTTGCTGCTTTAAAGTAAATATTTTCACTCAGTAAGATAATTTAAAAAAATATATAATCCCTTAGTTTAAAATTATGCTCACCTAATTATCACTAAAAAAAATTTGAGTCCCTATGAAGAGAAATATATATGACATAAAATATTGTATAAAGACGATAGTATTTCTAACAGTAGATTCCTCTCTCTTTCTCTTAGACTGCTTTAGATATTGGTATTGGTGTGAGTAACATCACCAGCGATGTGGGTTAATGGGACCCTGTCTGGCCAGACCCTGCGTACTCATCAGTTGGTCCCTGGGACGTTTTTTTTCCATCACCTGAGTATTCATCAACTGGTCCGCTGGAGGTCAGGGATGAGGCATGTCCGGGAGTGTGTAGCAGTCCGATGTAGACGTGTGAGATCTGTGCATATACCGTGTAACTAGGACCATGTGGAACTGGGCCTTGTGTCCAGTCCTACGAAACTTGGATACAATGTTTACTGTAAATGTTGCCATTACTTAAGAAGTTATGCTGTTTAACTATTGTACCATGTTGCCACTGTAACGTGGACTTCACTATTAGGATAAAAGCTTTTTTGTAAAGAGATTAGAGAATTGTTATATTTTTAACTTCTTTATAATGAATCATCGTTATTCTATGTATAACCATTCCCTAAATATGTATAATATTTAATTATTTTTTTTACCTACATGTGATAAGCTCATCAGAATAATTGTAAGTGTGCTCTGCATTACTTTTAATACACCTCACAGCTCCGTAATAGACTATTTTACGAGATCCACGTCAACTTGTCACGAGGTATTCACCAAGAACTTGTCACTACCGACCATCGAGTCATGTAAAGTCATTGCCCATTATTTATTGCTTTCTGCGTTCCTAATTTCCCTTAATTAAAAATAAATTACAACTTTGAAATCAATCATAAGGAAAGATCCTGTTTGGTAAAACTGTGTTAATGAGTGCATCAAGAATAGAGGAGCTTGCTCGACGTTGTAGCTATAATACACTATTGTTGTAAAACATAAATATACACAAATATTCTAGTTAAACCATTATATATATATATATATATATATATATATATATATATATATATATATAATATATATATATATATATATATATATATATATATATATATATATATATATATATATATATATATATATATATTGCGCACTGCATCCAGGGTTCCTGCCCGCCATCTGAGGAGCTGGAGGAACTCGAAAACTATGATAAACTATCTTTGTAACCATATTTAACTCCTTTTTGTAACAAAGTTCAAATAAAGTAAATATATATGTGTACATATATATATTTTTGTAACAAAGTTCAAATAAATGTATATATATATATATATATATATATATATATATATATATATATATATATATATATATATATATATATATATATATATATATATATATAATAATAATATAACTTTGATTGCATGGATATCGAGATGGATTCTTCAACGTGGGAGGGGTTCACAGGTACTGTCCCTTGGCACCACAACATTGTGTACACGGGCTCCAGCTACTGGGCAGGCTTAGTACTGACCGTTTGGTGGCCAAGCTGGCCGGATTATAAGTAAATGGTTCCGGGTTCGATTCCCAAACAGGGCAAGATGTTAACTTACACCTAAAGACTGTGCTTACCAAAGAGTAAACAGGCGCCAGGGACCTAGGCAGCTGTTGTGGGTTGTATTCTGTGGAGGGTTAGTAGTTGGCCCTTGAGGGATTGATTATTGATGAAGATTAAGCCACCCAAGAGGTAGAATGGGCATGAATAGCTCGTAAGCCTTGAGGGAGATTCGATAAACTTAATATAGGTTTGTTGATGTGTGTGGTTCTCCATGCGGTCTCTCAGTGCTGTAGTGAAATAAAATGTCAAGTATGGAGCATGATCGTCAAGGATCTTTGACAATCTCATAGGATAGTTTTTTTTACTTATTTTCTCAGTTAACTGAAGCAGGTATCACACTAAGAATTCATGGATATAAATCATACTATCTCATTCCACTGACTACAAACACTTTTTTAGACCAAATTACTACATGAAACTACTTAAAATTCCAGAGAACACTCCAAAATTTTATGATTGTAATTTCCATGGTCTGAGAAAAGGGTGAGGCCTCCCCCACACGCTACCAGCACTTCTCTGTATCATTCACATTTCTATCATCACCTTCCCATTCCGTAGTGAGGGCTCCCAGTTCGTCAGGCAGATTATAGGATATGGCGTGCATATGTAGGGAGAGACAGAGACAGAGGGAGGCAGAAGGGAAGAGAGAGAGAGAGAGAGAGAGGGGCCGGGGGAGAGAGAGAGGGGGGGGGAGAGAGAGGGGGGGAGAGAGAGAGGGGGGGAGAGAGAGAGGGGGGGAGAGAGAGAGAGGGGGGAGAGAGAGAGAGAGAGGGAGAGGAGAGAGAGAGGGGAGAGAGAGAGAGGAGAGGAGAGAGAGAGAGAGAGAGGAGAGAGAGAGAGAGAGAGAGAGAGAGAGAGAGAGGTGGGGGGTGGGGGTGGGGGGGTTTGGAGGAGGTCAGAGCTGCATGGTGTGAGGCCAGAGTCAACATACACCGGCTGGGCCTCCGTCTCTCCTCCCAGGAGCCGCCTGAATCATTAATCAAAGGTTATCAACCTTAGAAATACTATAAAAACTGGGGAAGGGAGGGAGGGGAGGAGGGGGTTAAGGGCTCGACGAATAATACATCAAAGAGGAGTCGTGGAGGGGCGCCTCGAGAGAGCGTGGTGGAGGGGCTCACTAGGAGGAAGGGCAAGGAGGGATTACATGTAGGAAGTGCACGAAGGGAAGGGGGGGCATGGAGGGATTACATGGAGGAGGTGCATGGAGGGATTACATGGAGGTGGTGCATGGACGGATTACATGGAGGTGGTGCATGGAGGGATTACATGGAGGTGGTGCATGGAGGGATTACATGATGGAGGTGCATGGAGGGATTACATGCAATGGGTGTTTGGAAGTTATGTAAGGATGGGGTGGAGGGTTTGTATGGGGAGTGCTGCTTAATAACAAAAAACCAGAGGGGAGTAAAAGAATGCAAAGGAAGAATAGGAGAGGAAGATGAGAACCACGAGAGGAGGAACTAAAGAAGGTACGAAAAGGATGAGGACAAAGGAGTGAAAGGGCAGATACTATACACAGTTGGAGAGGGAGAGAAGAGACCCGGGCGCAGCCGGGTTTCCCTTTCTATGTATGTAAATATAAATATCTATCTGTTCGAGGCTGGAGAGATGAAGGGGGAAGGGAACTGAAATGTAATTTAATATTATGAGGTTCGATTACTAGATTCCCCTTCTATTAGGAGTCAGTCTCACTGACACATTATCTGGTGACATTATGGGCAGTTAAGAGACTTTCTCTAATCAGATTTGATGGTGACCTGACAGACGTTAATCTCATGCTGGCTCCCCATGCTGGCTCCCCTTCCTGGCTCCCCATGCTGGCTTCCCTTCCTGGCTCCCCATGCTGGCTCCCCATGCTGGCTCCCCATGCTGGCTCCCCTTCCTGGCTCCCCATGCTGGCTCCCCTTCCTGGCTCCCCATGCTGGCTCCCCATGCTGGCTCCCCTTCCTGGCTCCCCATGCTGGCTCCCCTTCCTGGCTCCCCATGCTGGCTCCCCTTCCTGGCTCCCCATGCTGGCTCCCCATGCTGGCTCCCCATGCTGGCTCCCCATGCTGGCTCCCCATGCTGGCTCCCCTTCCTGGCTCCCCATGCTGGCTCCCCATGCTGCCTCCCCATGCTGGCTCCCCATGCTGGCTCCCCTTCCTGGCTCCCCATGCTGGCTCCCCTTCCTGGCTCCCCATCCTGGCTCCAAATGCTGGCTCCCCATGCTGGCTCCCCATGCTGGCTCCCCCATGCTGGCTCCCCATCCTGGCTCCCCATCCTGGGTCCCCATCCTGGCTCCCCACGCTGGCTCTCCACGCTGGCTCTCCACGCTGGCTCTACACGCTGGCTCCACCACCCTGGCTTCCACCACCCTGGCTCCCCACCCTGGCTCCACCACCCTGGCTCCCCATCCTGGCTCCCCACCCTGGCTCCACCACCCTGGTTCCCCCACCCTGGCTCCACCACCCTGGCTCCCCACCCTGGCTCCACCACCCTGGCTCCTCACCCTGGCTCCCCACACTGGCTCCCCACCCTGGCTCCACCACCCTGGCTCCCCACCGAGACGCCAGCTCGCCTCCCCAGCTTACTCGCGTGTGAGGAAAGGCGTGTCTTTCTTCCCTGTTGGCACCAAACCGACAGATCTGAAAGGGAGAGAAGAGAGCGCTATTGACGATTAATTAAGACAGAATAACAGCAACGAAGTGAGCAGTTGAGTAATTATGGGAGGAGGAGGATGGTCAGGATGACGACAGGATTTGAAGAAGTAATGCAGATCAGGTTAGTTTTCTTGTTAAGCTTCCAGGTTTGCTTCGTGGATTAATCAATCCACGAATCAATAGTGAAATTGGATTAATCAATCCAATTTCACTATTTCCATGTTTATTATCAGTTATTACTGCTCTCATTCTCCTTCAGAATCATAGTGAAAGAATGGGATCCTTCATGTTTCAGTTCTGGTGTTCAGGTTATGATTAGTTGTTCAGGTAGTCGATAGTCTGTGATGTTGTCATGGGTCGTCTGTGATGTTGTTATGGGTCGTCTGTGATGTTGTCATGGGTCGTCTGTGATGTTGTCATGGGTCTTCAGTAATGTCACGGGTCGTCTGTGAGGTTGTCATGGGTCGTCTGTGATGTCATGGGTCGTCAGTGATGTCCTCATTGGTTGTCAGAGATGGCGTTATGATGTCATCAATATTACCATCACTTTGCGAAGACCCATTCAACATAAGGTGTATATAATGATGCGGACCATCAACACTGAGCGTCAATCAGTGTCACCCTGACTGGGACCACAAGAGCCACCACTGCCAGCGTGACAGTCATTATTGCCAACATCAATATACTCTTCAACCTTAACTCTAATTTCTTTTCATAGTTATTATTATCTGAAAAAAAGATCATTTACACACAGAAATCACAATAGCGTGATGCATCAAATGAACAAATCCACAAGATCCGATGTTCTCGGATGTAAGTTCGAATCCTCGTCACGGCCCTTGTGGATTTGTTCAAAGATAATTTAATTAACACAATATCAAAACATAATTTCACAAAGTAATTGTCTTTGCGAGAATGAACCAGTTAAATTCTGTAATGATGCAACCTCTTGAATGTACCTTCATATATATAAATAATATATATATAAATTAATTAAATAAATAAATATAATTACATTAAACCTTCGTACCCTAAAATTTCCAGCTTCATTTTCGCCTTCCCTCCAGAATACTCTCAAATTCTCTTTGACTTCTCTTAAATAAAATTCCGACTTGTGTAATCGCGTAATTTTTGTAAAATAATTTTTCCTTCTCTCCCTTCATACTGGGAAAAATAATTAGAGACATAGACGAGCGGCGGATGTGATGGAGTATTCATGATGTAAACACAACTGGGATTTCGCGGCTTCAGTCAGCCAATAGGCGACGAGGAACGCCAGCCTTGATGAGAACCAGCCTACTGGAATTACGAATTTTGTCTAGTGTTGGGCTTAAGATCTCACAGTCTCTGGAGTGTTATTACGGCCGCCACACGAGATTAC